TGGAATTTTTCAATAGAGTTAAACAAGTTTCAATGTTTTATTAGATACTATTTTCTATAATGCTTGAAAATGTGTTTGGGGAAAGATGGATGCTTGTTTTTACTTTTCTGAAATTTTTCTTTTTTCAAACAAAAGTCTTCCTTCTTGTGTTCCTTTGCTCAGCTTCATCTATAAAAATCACTCAGATAATCTCTATTAGCCTGATACTGTACATTCAAAATACCTTACATGGTTCCAGGCGTCCAGGATTATACTTCTTATAACAGTCATTACTCTTCACTTTCCTTTGGATATAATTTTCTTCGGGCAAAATTACCTCTGCTTCGTGTAATAATGTTTCAAGTATACATATTCTATATCTGAAAAAAAAAGTATTTATTTGCTGCATGAGTTTTAGAGTTCTTAAAGCAACTTTCCAAATATTCAAACTTCAGGAGGGAAAAAATGCAATATTTTTATGGGAAAAAGTATATCAAAGTAGGTTTCTGAAGCTTCTGGGATTGCAATTTTTTTTAATTCCTTGCCTTTCCTAAAACATTAAACTTGTTTTATCCAATTTTATTTGCACTATTACTTCCTTAAAACCTTTCAAAGGTTTAAAGATACAGTTTCATATGCTATTTTTGGATCCTAAAGACAAACGTTTGCTTTGTGTTTCATTCTAGTTCCTTATTTGCCAGAGTCACAAGGACTCCATTATTCAAATTTGCATGTTTCATAAAAACATATATTTGTGTAAATTATACTTACAAAGCTTGGCATTTCTACATATATCTCATTAATCATTATACTAATTATAGGTTATAAGAAGGTTACAGCCAAGAGGCAGCCAAGAAGCTATGAGACATGGAAAAACTTATGCAATATAATCCTTCCCAAACTCCACTCCACAATTCTTATCTAAGTGAAAATTAGTTAAAACAAACACTAAAGGATAATTTTTGTTTTGGATGAACTTGTTAGAGAATATATTCATTCATTCTTAAAGTATGTATTGAACATCTACTATGCTAGTCTCAATGCTACGTCCACATATGCAGGTGAAGCATAAATGGGAAAAGCAGAGATTCCTTTAGAAAAGGAGGGAGAAAGCATGCAGGATAATCCTGAGGTCTACATTTTTTTAGGTCCCACCTATCAGCTGAGGGAGGTGTCTTTTTCTTTTCAGGTTACCCCAGCCTCTGAGTCACTACGGAGCCACCTACTTCCTGAGTCACTGGACACCACGCAAGCTCCGGTGGGACAGGGGTATTTATCATCATTCACCATTGTCCTGGGGACACATTTGTTTCAAGATTAGGTCGATAAGATTTTAAATGGTGATCTGCAGAAAAACCATTTTAATTTCTGTGATGGGGGGAAAAACAGCAAATGTGGCACAAGTATGTTTGTTCTGCTCTTTTATAGCAAAAAATTTATATACTTTGCATGTGGCAGAAAGGGACAGGCTTATATTACAAACAAGGACAGGGAGTGGATTAGGTGATTAGAAACAGACTAGCCAAAGCTTTGCAAATACACACTGGTGGCCCCTGTGTGTTCAAGGCATTCCTCATTTCAAGAAGCAAACCATGGTGCTTTCCATCTGTGATAATGAGGAAACGCCAAAATTCAGTTTCCTTGATATTTCATTGCATTCAGTTTTGTCTAAAAATGAACATATTACATTATTTCATAAAAAGAAAATGTGGAGCATAGAATGTTTCAGTATGTAGTATGTTTCATGACATGTTTCAGGACATATCCTGAAAGATCTTCTCTCTACCAGACACTTAGAAATGCTGGGAAAAAATATAACAGATATATCTCCCATTTAAATACACAGCCAAGCTTGCAAAAAATAAGGGAAATCAAGGGGGAAAAAAACAAAGGAAATCCTAAACCAGAATCAAACTAGCCTTTAAAGTATAGCTGAGTTCAGCATTTTCTAATCTCAGTTGCCTAGAGATTTGGCTTTTAAGAGTCCTTTGAAAGCCAGAAAATGAAATCGAAGGCTGTTCTACGTTGAGCCAGGGACTCGCAGACTGCTACACCTTCTATGAAACAGTAGACAGAAAAAACTAGTCACCTGCAAAGACTGGTGACAAGGAAATGTGTCTATTTCAGTGTACTACCAGGTCTGTAATTTAAAATTACCCTACCTGTGTGGTCCAGGAAGCCCAAGCCAAGAAAATAACACAGCAGTCCTGGGTTGGAAATACCTGGGCTGCGGATAGAGCCAATGCAAATCTTCTTCAAAGGGAGGCACCCTCAACCCAGTCCTCGGAGAATTCCACAGATTAAACAACGTGGATATACAAAAATGCAAATAGACACATCTCAGTCCACATTAAACAACTGTGGACAGCCTTATTCACTTCCAGGAAAAGAATATCACTTTTTTAGCTATAACATTGCCTTAATTACATTGGAGGAAACAAGATTCTAACTGATACCCTGGAAGCTAGTCAGGAAGGACACGATGATCCACTAAGTGTTCAGGAGAAAATAGGAAACAAGGAGGAACACTATTGTTTTCAATTACAAGCTGGAGGTCCAAAACCTGAGAGCATTACTGACTTCCAGGGAGGGCCAAGAAAATGCATTTAGGGCAGCTGCCAAGAGGGAAAGAAGAATGGGAGTTAGGACTAAACTTTATAGAATGGCAGGACCATGACTATAATTGAAGGCATCTTTAAAGCCAGTCATTTGAATAAATGCAGACGAAAATGGTAACTAACTTCAATAGCTATTTAAGTTCATTTTGTGCTGATAACAGTGTCAGGTACTCAGTAATCTGTTTCTAATTTATGTTGTCACTATGTTTTGCGCTCACACAAACCAGAAGCCAAAGCTAGGTTGTTTCTGATTGGCAGGAAGTCAGAGGGGACAAGACCAGGATGGGTCAAGTGTCTGGGTTGCAGAGTTTCAGGCCACACTCTAAGCCGTGGACACCGAGCCTGCAAAGACAGAGGACGCTGTGCAGAGAGGAGGCTGGGAAGGAAACACAGGCAGAGAGGACACCCTGGGAAGGCTCAGGACCAGGCGCAGAGTTCAAGGAAAGCAGGAGCAGACTCCAATCTTCCTCCAAACACTGGCCCCAACTTCTCCCTGCTGGATACATTTCTCTGAAGAATCCACCAGTGTCTAAGAGTTCATCTTGCTTCTAAAATATATTGAAAAGTGCCGTCCTATGAACAAATGGCAGAAACTATACAATATAAATAGGATGCACTGAGTAGTAGGCTTATGGCTTATTTCTTAAACCACCACCACCGGCATTAACCAAGTAGCTATATTTCTCCCTTTTTTGCAGAAGATATAAATGGCAAATCCTAATATTTATAATTTCTAATATTTCATTATTCTGTTGTGAAGTTCATTCTGGGTTTTAAACAAATATACTAAAATACTAAATATTCCTTAATTGTACACATTCGAACTTGTGTTACTTTGGACTTAATTTGGCTGGAACAGGAATAGACTCACAGTGCTCTGGAGTGAGCAGACTGCAGTTGTCGGAAAGACCTAGCTTTGGAAGGCAAGGGCGCTCCCGAGCTGCAACAGCGGAAGCGCTGCGGCCCCCTACCTGCCCTGACAGCTCTGAGTCACTGCGATCCGCCTGCGTTCCGAGGACCGCGTTGCTCCCACTCCATTAATCGAACTCGCCCTCCCCTTCTTCGAGGAACCAAACATGCTTAGAAATCTGCCGCAAGCATCCGCGCCCCGTTCTGGAATCCTGCAGAACCACCTTCCACCTGCTCTTCTGTCCCTGTGGACGCCACCCCTTCTTTATTTCTCAGGCCCTGCTGCTGCCCGTTTTTAGCGGGCAGGAAGGTGCGCAGGGTTTGGAAGCGGCACCCTCACACCGTAAGAGGCAGAAAGCGCCTGGTAGGGTCGTCCTTGGGAAATCTCCCTGCCAGCTCCCTGCATCCAGACCGTGAGAAAGGAAACATTCTTGAATCCCAGAAAATTAATTATTCGGGGAAGAAAAGATTTGACTACGACACGGAAGATTTCCTGGAGAGATCCGGCTTTCCAAATGTCCTGGGGCAGGGAAGGAAACTGGAACACGAGCAACCAGTGAAAGTGGGCGCTGTCCGCACACCCGGATCCTTCCCGACTGGCGCAAACCCTGCGCCTCCTGTATCGTTGCGCCCTCTGCTCGCTTCTGACGTCCTGCAGTTTGTTTGCCTATGCCAGTCCCAAACTGATCCTTTAGGTTTGATAAATTCGATTTCTTTGGGTTTGAACCTCAAAATCATTAAATGCAAGTAAACATAATCTTCTACCTTATTGGACTCCTCAATATTTTAAGAAGCACTCCATCAACTGCATTCCGATCTTCCTTTCTGCTGTTTATTACAGCATTTCTCAACTCCCACCACTGTTTCCCTGTCTCTCTGTTTCTGTCTCTCTGTCTCTCTCCGTCTCTGTCTCTCTCTGTCTCTCACACACACTCACACACACAGTTGGATTAGCTCCAGGACAAGGACATTAATAATCTCATCTTATTCTGTATTAATTAGACCTCATTTTAAACGTTAAGTTCAATCTAAATTTTAACAGGCATATTAACAAATTGGAAAAGGATGGAGAGTTCAAAACTGCCCTAGAGGACCAGCCGAAGAAACTAGCAAGGTTTGACTATAAAGGAGTCCTTTTTAGATCCTTCGATTGTGATAAGTCCCTAGTAATTTGACTATTCCAGATAGATCGATTTTAACAGCTCTCAACAATTCGATGGCATGTGCGTGCAGTGGTGGCCTACTTCTTTGTACTCAATTCTCTGTCTTTTTAAAAAGGGATTTTACTTTAAGCTACACATTTTTTTAAAAACTAGAAAAAGGAATTATTTTGGAAAAAGGGTTTGACCATTACACTGAAGATTTCGCGGAGCTACTGCTTCCAATTATCTGATCACTTCAGACGGTCTGCTGACGTTAGATAAAACCTCTTTATCAGCTGTGCATTGGAATCCCAGAGTGCTGCTTTCCATATTCAACAAAACCTCTCTTTGCATAGATACTTGTGTGTAAAAACAGAACATTCGTACTGAGGCCAGAGTGCCACAGAAGGTAATTATAGAGACAGCAAAATCCTTTTATGCTGGGAAAAATAAAAGGGTGTCCGGGTGTCTCATGAAATTTCAGAACCTGATTTCAAAAGGATCATAATAAAGAGGAGATAAAATTTAGCATGGTGGACTGCTCTACAGGATATATTTGTAAGTACGAGATTCTATAAAATAGCTGATAAAAACGAGAATGTTGGCTTGATATAAATGACTAGCGGATGCTGATTTCAACAGCAGGATTGCTGGGAGTGTTGGCAGGGTTTCTTCTAAGGAAAAAACAAGCTAGTAAACATATATTCTTATGCCCGGCTTTCTATACTTAAAACAAAAATTTACAGTCACCTCCTATATAAACAAATCTTCTAAATTGGGCAATAGAAGACAATAGTTTTAAAGTATATTCTTTCATTTTATGTGTTTTGTTTGTGTACATGTATGCATATGTTTAGATAAGGATATATTATAAAATCAGACATTTTGGAATTCTTTGTTTCAAAAATTATGCATTACCAAATTATTTGTTCCATCAGTTTATTAGTTGTACTGACTCCAGATTTGATTGTTACAAGGTTTATCTGAAGCATTGTTAATCTTGATTTGATGGAATTTCTTTGTTTCTTCACATTATGCCTAAGCACAGCTACACGCAAATTACTTGCTTTTTTAAAGGGCAAGAATTTTGTGTGTTATGGCAAACAAAATCTCACTAAAATGTAATTTGCTTCAGATTTTTCTAAATTTTATGTAGCATGCTACATCATAAAATAATGAAATATATTTAAACACAGATATTATATATGAACAGAAAGAATTACTGATTTTCTATTAGGATAATAAAAATATTCAAATATGTGAAAATATTTGCTTTAAAAAAATTCATTTATTTTCATATCACTTTAAGATTTCATTTAAATGCTACAGGAAACTTGACTCTATTTCTGGCATAATACATATCAAATTCAATTCATCACTAATGCATTTATAAACACTCTAAGTATTAGATTCTATCAATGAGATGTATCCTTTCTCTTAAATAATTACCAGGAGAAAACACTGGAAGCAAAATCATTATGGAGACCTAAACTTGTTCTAGATAACCTTAGATTGTAAAAGTACACATTAGTTTCACCAAGAACTTATTGAAAAATAAAGAAGATAAGCACATTGATATGTAATATGAAGATAAATACAAAATATTTAAAGAAAAATACAAATAAAACAGTATAGGAATTTTTGTAATAATTCATTAAATGAACAAAATTCTAGATAAGCAGTTAATAGATCAAAAATAGGGATAACCATAATCCGGCATTTATGAAGTGGAAAAATTATTTACTTAAAACTTAAGGCAGATTATTTATGGAAATCCTTGCCAAATATGCATTCTCCAGGAAGCACACAATAATCTTTTTGTTTTTGTTTTGCTTTGTTATTATTTTATTTTTAGGTCAGTGGAATGTTTTCACATATCATACCACCAACATGAGAAAAAAATGATTATTGTTGATTTGAAGCTTGGTGAGTGTATCTACAATTTAAATCAGTTCTATATTATATCAGTTTAGGTCATTCTTTCTTTCACAGGAACTCTTTTTTTTGCCAAAATAGATTTGTAGGTCTATGGAATATTTGAGGTTGATTTTTATTTTTACCAGTAATTGACTACTTGCACTCTACTTTGAAGGGTATAATTTAACTAAAAATATTCTTAGATTTAACTAATAAACAAAATAAATTTGTTTATCAATAGGAAATTTTAATCAAATTCTTATCCTAAAGAACTATACTTTTTTTAAAAAAATAGAATTTACCCTTTTGGGAATTACCAAAAATATTTCTTAGATGTCCTCAATTATAAATGTGAGAGAGTTTCATATGTCACTCTATATTTTGATGTATTTAACTGTCAATTGAGATGTATTATTTAATGATAAATATTGTTGAATACAGGATTGCAGATACTTCTTTTTGAACCAGTAGTAATTCTGCAAATTCTTTGTCCTCAGACTATGGATTATATTTCCTCATTTTGTCAGATGAGATTTCAAAGGCTGTCTTTTCTCTTCTCATTTTAGAGGTATGAGAATTTTAAGTTCTACTCCTTCATCTGCTTTCCATCTTCCAAAATAACCTTGAAATATTTTGTCATTTTCCTTTTCCTTGTTTAATCCCCTTTTTCCTTCATGTTTAACACATTAACTGCCATGTGAGTTGTATTTAACTCACACTAGTTTTGAGCCCAGGGCCTCGTGAAGCAAAACCTTGCAGTTGGTTCATGAAAATCTTACTTGTTGATGTTCTTATTATTACAATTAATATTGACAATTTAATTCTAAAAACATGGATTGTGTTGCATTTAACTCATGCACAGAAAACAAAAAATAACAAGTTAGAAAGGATCATTTTGTTTTAATAAAACACCATGGCCCCAGGGAAAATAATTTCTTTTCTAGTGGTAGTCAATGTGTTAAGCCTTTCATTTTCCTTTACTATAATTTTACCAATGTTTGGTTCAAAAAGGTAATAAATTCGGGTGGTCGATCTGACCTTTTTACCCAAGGCTGAGTTAAATATTTGTGAATTCAACTCTTTGTTTCAATGTGGACAGCATCATGAGGGCACAGGGGATGTTCTGTGGTATTTCAGCATAGTGGCTCACGGCACTGTGAATCAATAGAAGCGCAGAAGTGCAGACGTGTGGGTGGATATTTGATCCCAGAAATCTTAGAATACAGGCGGCAGGGCACCAGGTCCTGGGCAGGGGACAGGAGAAGAGCTCCAGTCACTGGGACAGAGTCCGACTTCCAGTCCCATTTCAGAAGGGACTGGAAAACCAGAGAACTTCATAAAGCTCAATCCTTTTGTGGTCTATTTATCCTATGCATAATACATCTTGTACATAATTCTGTCACTAAATATTTTCTGCAATTTAATTATTGATACTTTTATGATGTACTGTATTTGTATTCCATAATTTAATAAATCTGTGAACGTTTGACTTAGAATACTGAACAACATATAAACAACAACTTGCACATGATTATCCAATAATTTTTGAACAAATACTTCGTGGAACATATAGTCTGGTAGAAGTAGATAAGTCAGAAATATAAATAATATTATTTATATATTTTTTTATAGATATATTTATATTTTCCTCCTTTTTCAATATCCCCCTACTGAGTGGCTTGGACCAGAGAACCTCCTCTGAATTAGTCACAGAGCTGAGCCCAGGGCTGCTACTGATCTACGTGGAGTCTTTGCTGGGATTAGGAAAAGGCAGCCTCCGCATCACATGGGATGAAGCCCCACTTGGGGTTCCAAAGCTTGGCCAGGGGAGGCTGGGTGGATATCAGCCTCCTCTCTCCCTTTGGACCAGGCATCTCTAGAGAGGGGACAACGTGCATAGTTGCACCTAGGGGAAGTTCTGGGTGGTCTGTCCTCTAATCCCTTTTCCCTCCAGCTTGCAAGCAGACCTGAGCTCTTCTGGCCAAAGAAATATCCCTCCTGAGGGCCTCGGTTACTCAGTATGATACACAGACCCAGATATCTCTGAATCCGCATTACAGACCCAACTAATTCTAAAGCTGGGACCCAGCCACTAATATGATGTGTGAACAATAGAAATATAGGAACACAAGAACAACGAAAATGAAGAGAAGAAGGATTTGCAGAGACTTGTTGACATGTTGAAGAATGGATAAGGTTAACGGGGAAAACTTGTGAGATCTAAGTTGAAATGTGAAAAGAGGAAGGAATGTAGTCTGACAGAATGTGTGTTTCCTATACAGAAAAAAGAGTTTAGGAAATATTTTCTGAGTGACAGTGCAAGAAGCTGAAGAAAGATCAGATAAACTGGAACAGAAAGTTTTTGCATACATGCAGTTTTTTTCTAATTTTGACAGTTCCAGTTTAGAAAAAAGGAAATTGAGAATCTGAGGCTTAGTTGACATGCCTAATATCACACAGCTGATAAGAGCCTGCTCTCAAGTACATGTCTGTCCAGCTTCAGAGCCAAGAATTATTTGAGTATACTCTGTCATGTCTCAGGAGCTGTTAGAAGCCCTTAAACTCTAGGGCATCTGGAAATTACTTTACCTTCACTGTGCTTCTGACATCAGTGAGTGTGGCATACTAAGACTGTTCTGCTTTTGCCAAACAATTCCATTAAAGTTATAAAAGAAAATATGACAACCTGCAAATAGACATACAGTTGGGTTACAGAAATGACCACCAAAAAATGGTATGAAAATGTGTATGCTTAGCTCCAATAGATCCAGAGGGAAGACAATGAGATACAAGAACTGTTAAAGGTGGATGGAAGGGAGAGGCCAAGTCCAGTAGAAGGCAGGGATGACAAATTACACTGACAGAGAAGACATACGAAGGAAGGAAGTTCTTTGCCATGCTCCTACTTAGATAAGCAGAGTCCTTGAGTAACTACATTTTATAGGTGATCGCAGAGATGAGGAATCTTAAAACTTGAACTACACTAACGTAGCTCAGAGTCCAGTTATACACAGCGCCAGTTATGGACAGCCAGTCAATTTAACAGTTTTCTTAGTCTCAGTTATCTCAGTGTTAATCATCTTCAGTCAGATTTATCTATCTAGAAGAAGGTGTTTATTTTCATCACAATGCTAGTTGAAGACCTAAATGGATTTACTATTACCAAACAAAATAAAGTCCAACATCTTTAGTCTTGCATTTAAGGTCATCTAGAATCTAACTGCACACACAAACATATCTCTATAATAAACTTTCCCTTTTGCTTAAGCCACTCTGAATGTATATTTGCAATCAAAAGAGTCCTAACTGATGAATTAACCTGTGCCCCTTCCATCTTGTTCCTTTCTATAGTTATATTTAACTTCCTTGGTCCTCACTAACAGTAGAGACCCATACAGAAAACAAAGTCCATCAGACCACGCCCCCCATAAGTTCCTGCCTTCAAATCTGCAAATGTACTTGAATCTGCACCTATACTTTTGCTACCCTTTCCAGTTACAAGGGAACAGTAACTTCTAGTTCCACTTCTCCGATGGATGTCCAGCCCTCACATTCTGAATTCTAGCCGCTCCTTCTTTCTCAGGAACTGGAAATTCTAATGATTTTCCCTCTTTCTCCTGTGTCTTCAACCACTGTCCATGGCCAACTTCAGGGTGTGTCATTGACATTCTAGACTATTGTAATGATGCCCCCTAGAGACATGCAGGCAGCCCAGCATGGGCACATGACAGGCGCCCTGCCTCTCTGTCCCTATTCCATCTTTCTGTCAACAGCTTTCAAAAAAGACAAGGAAGAAAGAAAGAGTGCAAGGAAGGAAGGATGAACAAATTACAAGTAGCTCTGTGCAAGTAGCCCTCCACGTGTCCTGGGTTTCATTTCCTCTGGCTTTCCTCCCTCTTGTTTCTGTCCTCTCTGCTCCATTGAAACCACTCTCGCCAAGGTCATTAATGACAGCATTTTTCAATCCTTTGCTCTGTTAATCTCTTTCCACCTTTTTACACTCTATTGGCCACTCTTTCCTTTTTGATAAACCCATCCCTTAGGGCACAGTGGCTCACACCACTAATCCCAGTGACCAGGAGGCTGAGGCAGGAGGAATGCTTGAGGCCAGGAGTTCAGACCAGGCTGGGCAACATAGCGTGGCCCACATCTCTAAAAACATGAAAAAAAAAAAACCCTCATTCTTGGTTTCTGTGATATCATATTATTCTGATTTTCTGCAAGCTCCTTTTTCACAATCTTTCTCTTAAATGTTCTTGTTCTTCAGCCACTCATCTTGGGCTGTTCCCAGTTCACACTCTCTCCCTGCATCTCATCATTTTTACTTATTTATTTGTTTTTGCCCAACTTTATCTTGAAATCAAATCTCTTGTCTAAATTTGTTCTCTTTTTTCCTCTCACTTTCCATATCCAACGCATCAACAAGTTCAGATAGTTCTTCCTCCAAAATGTCTAAACTCCCTCCTGCTCTAACCCAACTTTCCTAATCATTCCTCCCCAAACTCCTACAGTTGCTTCCTAGCTGGTCTCCCTGATTCCGCTCTTGCCACACAACAACCCACCATTCTACTCACAAAACCAGTTTGAAATGTTAACGAGTCTATTCCGAATTTTAAAACCTTCAATGATTTCCCAACTCCTTACCATGAAATCGACACCCTAAACGGCCTCACAGCTCGGCCTCTGCCTGTCCTTAAAATGAACTCTCCCACCACTTCCTTCCTCCAATGACCATTTTCGAACATGATTATTGGCCCGATCCTAACTCTCTATTCTTTTTTCTCAGCTCTCTCTCTGCCACACTCTAGATTCATGTGGTAACTAAATTCCTTTTATTTTCTCAACTAACCTTTGCTCAAGCTGGTCCCGCCTTCACGCAACACCTTCTTGCGCATCCTGCTGGTTCCAGCTTAGATACTACTTGACTGCGGCCTTCACTAACCACCCTTGGTTAGGTTCTCCCCCTATGTGTACTCATGGCCCTTATACTTCCTGTATCAAAGTCCCCATCAAATGTATTTTAATTGCTTCTCAGTGAGAGCAGGAAGAGGAGACCCAAGATCTGTGTAGATCATAGGCAGCCAGAACTTGGCACGTAACAAGTGCTCAACAGACACTTTGAATGAATCAATAAAGACTGATATAAAAACTCACCACTTATCCTCAATAATTCACTGTATATAAGTGTGTATTTATGTTTAGCAAACCATTTCCAGCCTTCATTATAAAATGTGGATTTAATTATTCTTAAAAATTTGTGAGTTGTTTTCTCCAAGTCCTGGGTTAAAAACCCTCTATGACATGTACTGTATGTAAAGGTGCCTGGGGCTGAGGGAACTTCATTTAAATATTAAATTCAAAGTTACGATGACCAGAATGGATAAAACCAGGTAAGCAACACCCCTCTTAGAATTCACTCTTAAGGAGGTTTATTTTTATTTGGATATTTACACTTTGGCTAATTAGAAAGAGGCAAATTCTTATTCACTATATTGAGAGAGCTTTCTAAAAATAAGAGTTGTCCCAAAAAGGAAGCCTTGGGAGTTGGTGAATTCATTGTCAGTGGGTTCTAAATGAAAAGATCTTTTTCAGAGATTGGTATTTTTGAAACCTTATAATTTGATGAATAGGTAGACCAGACGTGCTCTAAAGTCACTCACAGACCTAAACACCTACATTCCTACAACATATGTAGGAGAGATGAGTCATCTCATTCCCCTCCTCTCCCTACCCCCACCAGAGATTGCATTTTATTAGCTTCAAGAACCCATCCTTATGTTTTCATAATTTATCATCCTGTATGTTCTTTAAAAATGGGTCTAACATATGATTATTTTAAATGACTAAATTATACAGATACATTCTGCGTGTCTTTAGAAAAATGAGCAGGCGAAATTGCTGGATTTGTAAGATGTGCAGAGATGAATCTAAGAGGCTCCCTGCAAAGTAAGTAAAATCTGCCTTCTACAGCCGTTTTAAAGCACATTCTACCTCCGCCCGGCTAGCTCGGTCGGTGGAGCACGAGACTCTTCAGAGCATGTTCATCACACGATGAACAAGTGCGCGTTTATTCAACTGCTGTCCTAATGCACTTTGTTCAGAGAGTAAAGTTTGCATTGACACTTGAGTAACTGCACCGGAAGGGCAGTCATGTGTGACACTAAAATTCCGTTTTCATTATTCATGGTTTACACTTGAGAATTCAACACGTTAACTGTTTTTAAAGAGTCTGTTATGAAGATTCTTCATTCTTCTTAAAAGTTTTATATTGTTTAGGCTAAAATGAGCTCTTTGATCCAAAATATTTTCACAGTTCAAACCCTCCACGTACAAAATGCCAGAAAGCTCCATCCCTAGACGGGGAGGTGAGGTGGAGGAGCGATCAAATGCTCACCGAGACTCCAAGTCTCCCGTTACACATTTTGCCCAAACTAAAAAGGTGCCCATCCGGGTGGGAACAGCGGCTGAACTGAAACGGAAGCTGTAAGCCCGAGAGCGGAAGGGCCCTTCTGCTGCCTGTGCTCACCGCCGAGAATTCCCGGTCGAGGATCCCTGTTGGGCTCCTCATTCGTGGCTGGGAGCCGGGACCGCCTAACCGCGCCCACACCGAGCCGCAGTGCTGGCCCTGGCATGCGTGCTCCTCTGCTGAGGCGCTGAAATGTCCGAAATGCTGCCGAGCCGCTGCGTGACGGGGGAGGAGCTGCAGCGGTGGCGAGGGCGTCAGTGAGACCTAAAGCTCAGCTTGTAAATGACCCGCGGAGGCGCTGAACTGCGCAGGCGCATCCAAGGAAAAAGCTCTAACATGCTAAATAGGGGACAGTTTCCTTTTTTTCTGATGATTTCCATAGAGCATCACTGCCAGAGCTTGCATTTCTTGCTACCTACCTTGGAGACCCACCAGGAGGGAAGGGCGAGGCCAAAAAAAAAAAGAGAGAGAGAGAAAGTTCACATTCATGGAAGGCTCCCAACACTAGTTATTTGATAGGTGCTTTGCATTCATGATCGAATTTAATTTTCATTATAACTTTGTGAAGTAGACATTATTATTCTCACCTTACACATGACAAAACTGGGGTTTCGAGAATTTACGTAAGACCAAAAACTGTCAGGTACTGCACTGGGATTAGAACCTAGAGCTATCAGATTCCAAGCACTCTTCATCCCTTTGTCTTCATGACGTCCCCAAATGCTCCCCTGTCTATTTGGCATCCACTGCCTGTCTGCCCAGAACAAAAGAGGGGACACAACATTGGAGAAAATCCGGTGGATAAAGGGACAAACGTGTTGTGAATAATTCTAGCAAAGGTGCCTGGAAAACCATGGGCCAGCATGAAACTACGATACTCAGAAAAAAAATTATAAGCAAAAATGGGGTTCAACCAAAACCAAATTTTATTTCACAACTTTACCTCCCCCACCATAATTATTCCAATCATGCTTCATCCCCATAAATCTCATGACTCCTAGAGGCGAAGGAATTCTCTTACCAACAATTGCCAACACTGAATTTTCAGCTGATGCGACACCGTGACGGCATCTTCTTTCGTGCCGCAGGTTTTCTTTCCTACGTAACGGCAGTGAGTGGACAGATAGGCACGCAGTAAACCTTGCCGCGCTCTTTCCACTTCACTAGATTGGAAGGTTATTTTAGGTTACTCTTTCTAAAGTTCTAATACAGAAAAGAACACTGAGTCAATGTTTTTTGAAAGCAACCTTAGCACAGCACACTGTTAAGCCTCAGCACTGATGCAAACAGTCTGTCCAAAACTGGCAGGGTCCATCTGAATTTTTAGAAAACAAAAGATATTTGACCTTTTCAGGACTCGCAATATTTTTCCATGTTCTAAGTTATTTTTTAACCTCCTTAATTAATCTTCCTTCACATGTTAAGAGCCTGCTAATGCCGATGGCTGTTCTGCAGCACAGATATAGATAGCCCCAGATGGTGCTTGCTTGTGTCTATACCCACCTTTGGTTATGTTTAGTTGTTTCAAGGTGAAAAATTGGGAATATACCATAAACTGAATGGCAATAAACACACTGACTATTTTTAAAGAGGGAAAATAAAATTATTCGTATGTGAGAATACATAATTCCCTGCTAATTCACCTCATGAAGTACACCAAAATGAACAGAGAGGAAGCCTCAGAGGCAGTATCTTTCACAGATATTTTCTAAATGCTAAATGGCTTTGGTTATGCTGTTTAGGTCAAATGTTACTTGGCATATTATACCTTCATAAAAATTAAAACCCTCAAAATGAAAAAAAATATATAGAAAATAAGAGATGGAGAAAATAATAGATACAGGGCTACTAACTTTATTCTGTGAGTGCATGCAAATGGGTTTTGAGGATAAACTTTGAGAGTCTAGTACATGAACATTGCTGGTGGCAGCAGCACACAGCACACAACCCTTTTAAAAGCAATTTGTCATTGTACCAAGGACCTTAACAATATGCATTTTTTTTACCCACTTTCATCCTACTTCTGCTAATCTCCTTGAATCATCCTAACAGTGTGGGCATGGCAAGCTTTAAACACAGTTGTGCCACCTTTGGCTTTCAATGGTTAAAAGTGAGACAAGATCAAAATGCTTTTTGAGAATAATTATGTAAACTATGGAATGCCCCCTTGGAGAATATTTTACAGTCACTATAAATGATATGACTATCAAAGATTATAAATGTAAAATTATAAATTATAACACTGTAAATGATTAAGACAATTATGATGACGTACAAAATGCTTACTAAGAGTATACACACACACATAAGTACACGCACACACAGAATATGATTACTTTGTGGTTAACAAACACACAAATATACACATAAAAAGACTAAAAAAAACTACCTCAAAATACTAATAGTGGTAATTTGTGAACAGGGAGACTATAAGACTATGGTTCTTTATCTTCATAAAATTTACACTATCATATTTTCAAGTATAGATTACCTTCATAATTTGTACAATTTTACAAACTTACGTAGTAAAAATGAAATGTAAAAGATCAAAGGGAGATAAACTTTCTTCCACGACCACACACAAATGGAAATTAATTATATTTTGGTGTCACTTTCAAGATAATATAGTTCCAGGTAGTTCAGCAAAACTTTGAGAATATTTTAGCCCAATCAGCACTTTTTGTGTTTCTTTTCAAAGCCTTACTTTGGAGGAAGCGTTGCAGTGGGCCCAGTCTTTTGACAGTCTGATGGCTACGAAATGTGAGTATTATGCGTGCATGTCACCGCTGAATACCAGCCAGTCTGGTTCTCAGGAGAAAGGGTGGGGCGGGGGGAGCGCGAGGTGACTGTGCACCGCTGGATAAAGGAAACCTGAAAATAGTTTGCCATGTCAACTGCTGTTACTTTCTCTGGTGTTAATTAAACCAAGATTAGTCACTGCGAGTATTTATTCTTCACAAGTATACGTGTAAAATCCCTTGGAAAATATGCTTACATGGCAGCATATACTGAAATATACTGCCTTTCCATAGCCTTCTAAAGTTAATATTAAATAAAAAAAAAAACTTGCTGTTCTCAGTGCTTTCAAAAGTAAGAATAAATTTGAGTCTTGATGGTCTAAGATTCCTCCTCAAAGTTTGTATCTCACTTTATCAGTCTGATTTAAGAAGAACTATATATGAGTCCACACAGAGTCGTATATAAGCATCAACATTCAGATGGTACAAATGAAAGGTAATAGTGATGAACGTGAGGGAGATAAAGTCCAAGGGTGAAGGCAGGAAATATGAAGGAGGCTGTGCATTCCAGAGTACAGTCGATTGTGTTTGAGGGAGGAAAAACTGGCAGGTTGTAGAAAATGATAAAACCAGAAGACGGGTACAGAAAATAAGGTAGTGGGTACTCACAGAAAGTTCCGTTGAATTTGGTATTATTTTTAATGGAGTTGATTCCCCTTGAATGTTTATTAATCTTTGCCTGTAGACCCAGCTTTTGTATTTAAGACGCTGTTTTAGCCTCTCTGGGAATGTTTCATCTGTTTAGAGATATGGAGTGTGGAGAAGAGTTAGCTGTGCTATTTAGATACTTCACTCAGTGGGGTGTACTAGAGGTTTCTACGGACAGGGTGCCTCCCGTGCCTCCTGGGCATTGCCACGTTCCTGGGGCAGAACCTGCTCTTTCTGACTCCAGAGCCCCCCATTGGTACGGACTCATTTGTCACTTCCTGGCCCAGAGGGCAGTGGTGGCAGATACGAACCCTACTGAAACACTCCAACCAGCCACTCTGGGACTTAACTTGTTGGCGCCTCCCTAGGGCCGGGGTTCACCTCTCCAGGCCTGGTCTCTGCCTGAGCTCCTGTCCTTTGTAGCAGGCCTTTCCAATGAGCACTGAGGCCAGAGTTTCTTTATTTGATGCAATCACCGCTGCTTTTCATTTTTTAGGTATTCCTCACAATTTGTGGTCCAATACGCCAGAATGACTGTGAATTTTTTTTAAATATATCTTTTGGGTAAATTTTAGGACATGGAAATGGGAGGAAGAAATGAAAGTATATAATCAGTCAGCTATATTGATTAATCCTCTGCTAATAGCTTGGATTTTCATCACAACCCTCTGTAATCCGTGTTTTGCAGCATTGCCAGATTAATCTCGTAAGGTTTCAAACGCTTCATCTGTAAAATGAGAATCACGTTGCCATCTTTTCAGCCTTATTGTGCAGGTTAGAGATAAAGCAACTAGCTCAATGCTAATACAGAAGAGGCACACAGTAATAGGTGGTGCTTTTTATTAGCAACAAAGTGCATGTCTCTGAATATCATTCATTTTTCTCTGCTGCCTAGAAAAAGTCCAAAATCTTAGTATTCAGGACTCTCTCTATACTCTAACCTAACGCATTTTCTGAGATTTATCTCTGGCTATGCGCCCTCATGTAACATGCCCTCTGCCAATGTGACTATCTCTCCAGTTCCCACTTGTACATTTATGACTCTTCTGCTCCGAGCTTTTGCTGAAAGTCCTTTACATCTCCTCTACCTACTCTGTCCATCCTTAAAGTCAAATTCAAGTTTCCACCTTTTCAATGAAATCTCTTGGAAATATTTTTCCTCTCTCTTTTATTTTGTCGGTAAAATTATTTATTCTGCTTTTAATTGTAGGCAGTTTGTGTATTGGGTTTTTTCCACAGTGGCTTTCTTACTAGATTGCAAATTCCTTCAGAGCATGGATTGCTTCTCATTCACCTTTCATCCCCCCGAGAGACTAAAAACATGCTTTGTACCGAATGGGCATGCAATAAATGTTCAACGAATAAATACAAGACAGATATTAGCAAGAAGAGATCAAAACACCAAGCTATATTATGTAAGTTTCTGTGTCAATCTGGAGGCTTCATAAACAAAAGTGAATAGAGTCAAGTATTTGGCAAGGATTCCAGGTGGTCACCTGCCTACCTACAGTTAGCACTTTAGAGATCTGGTGTCATGAGAATAAGTAAAGGCTACAGAAAGGATGAGGACAGGAAGACATAATACTACACTACACCCAAAAATATCGTCAAAGTCTTAGGCGTTACCAAGATGAAAATTAGGAACAAAATCCTGTGGGTATTTCTGATGGCTAAATCTTAATAGAGATATCGTAGAACTAGAAAAGATACAGAAAAGTGCATTTGTAATGACATGAGGACCTACAATCACCTTAAATCCAAGGACCCTTCGAACTGAAAAGGTCAAGACCAAAAAATAATCAAAATCTATAATGCCAGAAAAAATTGAGCCAGAAGGCTCATTACTTATATTTACTGACTAAATCACAAAAGATGAGGATAGGGGTTGCCCACTGATATTTGAGTAAATTACGTTTCATAAAAATAAAAAGTAGTTTAGTAAAACCACAGTTAACTCCCTTGGATGATTCATTCAATCCTACTGTGTGTCTCGCAGACCCTCCAAGCACAGGAACATGGGGTGAGAGAGGTGCACAAGGTCACTGTGCCCAGGGCCTGTGCTCCCTCTAGAGGGAGGAGACAAACACACAAGTGAACAAATTGATGAGCAAATAATTCCAGAAAGTGGTTGATGCTTTGACGAAAATAAAACCAGGCGATGTGACAAAAAAAGTCAAGTACAGGAGAGCAATTCACTCGGATACTTAGGGAACTGTCAGAAGGGGTAAATTTGAGCAAAGAGCTAAATGCTAAGAGGAAGCCAGAAGAAACCGTGCTGGGGTCTGTGGGCAGAATGGCCCAAGCAGAAGAAAGCCAGGTTTAAAGGCCCAGGGATATGAGTGAAGTCAGTGTCTTCAAATAAGTGGAAGAAGTTCAACGTGAAAAAAGGGTAGGGCCTTATAAGCCACATGAACAACCTTAAATTGCAGAATAAATAACAAGATTCAATGCGCGTTTAAAAGTTCTTCCTGGTTCTCTTCTGAAGCACGGAAGCAGGGGGACTAGTTAGAAGGCTGTTGCAATAAACCAGGTAAAACCAGAACTCTACGGGGAAGACAAGCCTGGGAGTAATTAGCATATAGATGCTAACAAAATCCACAGGGCTATGAGATCAATTAGAACGTTCAGATGGAGGAAAGCAGAGATCCAGAGATGGAGCTGAGGTGCGTGCTATTTCCAAATCCAGGGAATAGGAGGGTCAGCAAAGTGCATGGAAAAGGAGCACCGTGTGAGTTGAGGATGACCAAAACAGCGCGTTATCACGGAGGCCAAAGAAGAGAGTGTTTCAGGGAGGGAGCCGTGAACTGTGTCAAAGACTGCAGAGAAGTCAGGTGAGATGAGGAAAGAACAGTGACCGCTGGATATGGCAATGTGGAAGTCAATGGGGCCGCAACAAAAGCAGTTTCACTTCCTCAGAAGCAGAGGAAGTGAGGCGTAATATGGAGAACAATTTAAATAAGTTTTGCTGTGAAGGTCAGCAGAGAAAAGAGCAGAGACTGGAAGCGGGCATGAGGCCAACACGGGGAGTCAATAGCTGTGACTGGTTTTATTTGTGAAATACAGCAACATATTTGTATGACGATGGCAACCGTTAGCAAGGAAGAAACAGATGACACAGAAGAGACCGGAGATAAGTGTAAGAGCAACGGGAAAATGCAAAGTGATGGAGAAAGCAGAAGTAAGAGGGAGTCAGAAAAAAAATTGTTGGACCAGCTCAAAAAAGAAACAGAGACATTTCCCTTTCAGGAGGGAAGTTAGAAAGGACAGGTACAGATGGAGACAGGCTGGTCGATTGGGTGCAGAGAAGACGGAACTCTCCACCCGAAGAAGTTTGCGTTCTCAGTGATGTTTGAGGCAAGGCCGTCGGCGGATTGCTGAGGAGAGGATGCGACGGCATGTTGAAACGGGCCGTAATATGACAGAGGAGTCGCTGGATGACGGCGCAATGTCAAGCGCTCATTTAAAATATGCAGCGATGATTTCAAGCGCAAAAGCACAGTTGTTGTTTTCGCCCGGCCTGTTCAGGTTGCTCCTGCATAGACGCGGAGTAGACACATAATTACGCCATTCTGGATAGGCAAGAGCTCTGACTCACACAGAGTTTGCTTCAGTCTTCTAAGTTTGATCAAAATCATCTTTGAACGTATTGTCTACTTTCCTCCCATTCTAAATTGCCCCAATCACAGACCTCCTTAGAAATGCCAGTCAGATAGTGCAGAACCGCCACACTGCCGAAGGCAATGAAGCTGTTCCACATTGATGAACCGTCTGTGCCGGCCGTTGCCTCTTCATCTGCATCATGGCACAAGGCAGACACAAGAAGTTAGTGACGGATATTATTGTCCCCTTGTACACATCCTGATCCCAGAGGCAGAGCCATTCTCTCGGCTTTCTTCATCTGTGAGAGATTCTTTGCTGCTCACCGTGATCGACAGCTTCCCACACTATCACTTGCTCTAATTCCAATCTCACCTAACTACTGCTGTTGCCATGGTTCCTTCGCCAGCCCTGATATTACCTACACGGCCTTGCCTCTGCCCTTCCATCTACCGCTTTCTGTCTTTCACTTCTCAGGTACTTCCTCACCTTGCAGGGGGAAAATAACCATGGCCTGGTAGAGACATCGCTGTTCAGTAAGATCATTTTTTTTGTCTTATTCTCAGAAAACCAAAAAGTAATAGCCTGCCCAGTATAATCCTGTGGGCTTTAGTGCTTCTTGGATGCTGAATAATTGGGGTCTTCTTTTTCACTTTTCAAGACCTATAGAGAGTCACTTTAAAATGTGGAAGTATGAAGGATCCAAAAGCCCAGATT